GTGACTCATTTTGTATCAGGGTTTTTCTTTGCATAGTCCTCTTTTGTGAAGTGGTCTGTTTATGAAGTCCATGAGTCCAGCCTCTGATAGTTGTCTTTCTTTTGTTGTGGTACATATTATGGTCTTCTTAAACATGCAGCATTATGTGTGGGATGAATCCACCATCTGTATCCTTTGGCTATAGTAGAGATTTTTGCATGTATCTGGACTATAACAACAAGCTATACCTGCGCACCAAGCCATCAACTCAGGCAACTGTGAGCACCTCAAACCTGTCCTCTGCTCTCTATTTAGAATATCAAATTAAGTTTAAGATCTTAGTCCTTATCTTCAGGGCTGTGAATTTGTAGGCCCAGGATATCTAAAAGATTGCCTATAGCTCCAGGATGAGGACTATGGATGACAATTTGGCTCCTTAGCAACAATGAGATTATCTACTTGCAAGAGTAAGGCATGGTCTACACTATGCAACTAAATCAATTTAAGTTACACAACATGAATAATTTAGATCAACTTATTGCGATGTTCACATCGTACTGGGAGAAACTTTACCTTACGTTTCTCATTTTGGTGGAGTACCAGAGTTGATGGGAGAATGATCTGCAATTGATTTAGCTAGTTTTCCCTAGACCCACTAAATTGACCACTGGTGGATCAATCGCTGCAGCACCAATCCTCAGTAAGTGTAGATACACCCTAAAACTTGTCTGTGCAGGAGATACTACAATAATGAGTGCAGTATAAGAACCTATAGAAAAGAGAAGAAACTCTTCAGATGGGAAGGTGTACTCTGCCTTCATCAAACTAACTTCTCAGAGCATGAAAAGTATGATGTGAATGGTCATTCATTAACAACTTGGGATCCATGCACACAGTTGTGCCGTGCTTTCTGTTCCTCATATGTCTGACTTGTACAATGAAAAAGGGTGTTGTGATTTGGGTAGGAACTATTAATGGCTGAATTTTTATCTTGTCATATTTCCATTCATCCATCCCCTGGAGCAGGGCTACTCAACACGTGGCCCATGGGCTACATGCAGCCCACGGCCCATTTGTTTGCAGTCCGCAGTGCAGTTTGGGTTTATGTGAGGTTCAACATATGGTCCACCATTGGGATCCTTTGAACATAGCCTCCACTGGGAACACATTCTACAATGGCAAGTCAATATAATGGTCTTCTGTTGATATGAGTTTTAGTAGTTAAAGTCCTGGACTGTCATTGCTCATTAAAAGTGCTGTCATATGGGTGGAAATGGGGTAAATATTGCATTTTATTAATATCAACAGAACTGACTTAAATGGGGCCTGCGTGTTGTGTAGTCTCGCCTTAATCTTTGTATTCATGCCCGTCAGTGTGAAAGAAGCTATTTGCATATATATTTGCATTTAAGTTGTGGCCCTTGGCATGTGCTGTGAGTATCATTGTGGCCCCCGGGGCTTCCAAAGTTGAGTAGCCCTGCCCTAGAAGAAGTTGAAGCCAGTAGCCTGCTCAGAACTTGTTACTCATTCATCAGTATTGTTTGGTTCCACCTCTCCCACTGGACACTCATTTTTGCGTAATGTGAAATCATGGTCCACCATCCTCGATTCTTCTATTTCTTTTATGTAACTTGCCCATATACCCTGTTGAGCAGAGATATATAGCAAAGTGTGCAAGACTTGTGGTACAAATTCCTTCAGCCTGTGCTGAACACTGAGTAGTACATTTTTATTCCACATAATTTACCTAGAAGCTCTGGGATTTTTAACTTGCCTCTGACGATTCATTGCCTCTTCACCTGTATGAATTGAGGCAAGTGTCATCACCAAATGAGGCTGTAAACTCCAAAGAAAAAGCCTCTTTGAGCTGATTCTGTCATCCCCGAAGATGACCAAAGAACCTCCAGACCAGGGTCTCTAGAGGACCAGAAACTAAGACCCATGAGGAAAATTATCTGAAAAAGAGTCTGTTTTATACAATAAACTAAGCTGGTTACATCACAGCACCCTTTTACTATGGGTTTTTCCCTTTCTCAGGCATAAATACTTAGCTTAACAGCAGTTTAGATTACAATAAGCAATAACATGATGGTCGCAAGATCAGCTATGGGCCTTCAGACCTCCTAAACCAGGAATATTTCACAGAAAGAGAAAAAGCTGGAAACCAATAGAAATCAAAGCTTTCTATGTCACTGGAGGAAAGGAAGTGAGAATACAGACCAAAAAAGCAGCATAATCAGAAGAAAAACTTTTTATATTGTCACATGATGTTATGCTAAACAAGATACATTGGGGGAAGTAGTAAATCATCAATGTTTTTAAGTAGATTAATGTATTTAAATATTATCAACATAGTTAACATACTTATATGAACTTCTCAAAATCAAGTTCTAAAAGAAACATTAAAATCTATTTTCCAGAGAATGAACTGTGGGTTCCTGTATTGTGTATGTGGTTATTTTTTAAAACTATTTTTATAAAGTGATAGAGTCTGATTAGGATATTGCTTACTCCAGTTTCACACCAGAGTAAACTGCAGTACTCTACACTTAGCAGAGTTATTCAGATTTATGCTAGTTCCAATGAAAGGACAATCAAACTCCATATCTCTCAGTTCTTGCTGAGAAGTCATGTTCATTAAAATGTAGTTTAAGTGTAAAGGGAAAAGTAAGACGAGTCAGGAAATGCACATTTGGTGACTGGGGAGCTAATTTAAAACGTGTTCTCTCAGATAATGTTTACACACACTGGCCCAGATTCTACCAAATGGTGCATAGGGGTGGACCTGCATTAAAAACATTAGATTCCATGTGTGTGAAGTTTATTCCCACAAAGTTGAAAGTTGGACTGGAGCCATGGTTATTTCTTATTCTTTCCATCATTTATCATTCCAGACATGTTCATGGTTTTTGAAAGTATAATCATAGAATCACGGAAATGTAGGACAGGAAGCAGGGCCCTTCATAGGCCCAGGAGAACCCTCCCCCACCTCCACTCAGGCCCAGCTCTGCCCCCACCTGACCCCCATTCCACTTTTTTCCCAAAGACTCCACCCCTCTTCTCCAGAGTGGTGCTGGGAGTTGAAGAAGCAGAGTAGAGCAGGGCTAGTGGTGGTGAAACAGGGGGTAGAGCTAGCCATGCTGCCACTGGCCCCAATGCCACCTGGGCCCCCTGAAGCACAGGGCATGGGGCAAACTCCCCGAACTGTCCAATAGACAGAATGGCTCTGACTGGAAGGGACCTATCTAGTCCAGTCCCCGGAACTGAGCCAGGACTAAAAGTATAGACCACCCCTGAAGGCGTCTGTCTAACCTTATCTTAAAAAATACCAAATGGCTGAATTTCTGCAACCTCCTTAGGTACAAGCATTGTATTTTAAATGTATGAAGGCAAATTTAGCTGACTTAAGAGGGGAAAAGAACATTTTTCTAGAATTGTGTTTATATAAAGCCAACATCTATGTTTACAAATAAGTGTTATTGTC